TCTTCTCTGTATCGTTCCAATTTTTTCGTATGTCACCCCGAAGGGGACAATAGTCTTTAGTGACTGAGCATCGCCAAGAAAAGGATGTTGTATTTTGTTCAGTCCGCAGGGTGAGGAATTCTCATGGCCGGCACTGGGCCGGCAACAAACAGCCCCCCCACTTGAAATATCTCGCTCGTTTTTCATCTGGTTGGGACAAAAATATAATTAGTTATCTGAGTAAAGTAGAGATATATTCCAAGCTTTTTTTTATTTGCTTGTAATGCACTCATTGTCGACTCATTGACGAGGAAGCCCAAACCTTGGCTGGTCACTTCCAGACCGGAGATTGAATTGAGATCACAGCCACACCTCCTTCATCAACACCAACGCCTAATAACCGAAACGTGTTTCTTATATCCGTCTTTCTTCCTTCGCTCCGTTGCCTTGAAGTCTTGCAGAATTCAAATATAGCACGAATCCACCGCCCACCACCCAAACCCCTTACGATACCTGTATTCGCATCATCAACGAGTTGGCCTGCAATGCAAGGGTTGCTACGAGGGCCAAGCCTGGCATCTATATGTTATTTGAACCATTATCACTGCCACTCACTCACTTTCTATGGGAAGGTTGTCGCAAACTAAAGATTGGATCACCAACACGGACGCAAAACTCACTTTCATTCGTAAACCCATCGGAGACATCTCCGAACGTAATAAACAAAATCGTTAGGTACTGTAAAAAAAGGATCGACGGTGTCTGCGGGGGGCCGTATCTGCATTGTCTACCACCGCCAACGTTGGCTTCTCCGACCGCGGCAGATGCGGTGGGAGTTGCAAGAGGCATCACTCTGAGTTCTCAACGTTATTTCAATACGCAGGTCCGCGCATCGTATTAGCAGTCAGATTGCGCTGCTTCAACGGCTCATCGCTCTGCGCTGATAAGACAAACCTTTACAAAGCTAAGATTCACATGTTTAGTAAATTGGAATCCCGGTCCCCCCCTTGGGTCTGCCGCTATCAAGGTCTCTGCTCGCGCATTGCTTCTCGTCAGTTTTAGCGCGGAATTCTCAAGTCCCGATGTATCACGCTAGATACTTGAAGCTTGAAACTCCAAACCAGTGGCATATAAATATGTATGTCTGACCATGTAAGATTACGATCATCATTTACTCCACCGATACAGACTTCATTCGCCTCAGTAAATATAAACATTGAAGACGGAAGACATAGAATCCCAATTCCAAGGAACTGTTAGGTAATTATTTTTTCGGCCGCCAGAACTAGCCGGCAGATCCACTCGAAGAGATACCTCGGTGCAAGCATCCAGGGTACGCTTCCGCAACGGGTTTACACTCATGGTTTTTCGGTCCTCAACGATGATCGGGGCCAAATGTGCTCGCGCCAACATCTCACTCAGTCTTCTTGGATCATCAAGGGAATCCAAAGCCTCGATGTTACATCGCACGGTAGGAAATATGTTGCCTTCTCCACCTTGGGAAAAGCTATTCGTAGAACGCCGTGATGGAGCTCTTGAATTTGTTCTGTATATGGTGAAGGAATAGTGATGGTGGCATCGGATAATCTCGGTTCTTGAGGTATTGTGGACGACCACGCTTTCTGAGCGGAGGAGGCATCTCTGATTGAAAGAAGACTCCTGGAATGACAGTCCCATTTCTGATTGGCCAAGGAAATTTGGACAGCTAGTAACTTTGGCATCTCCATCGCTGGTTTTTTAGCCTACTCTCTTAAAAATCCTTTCATCATCAAACTTGGCGAGAGATATTGGACGTCCAACATCATTTTTGCCATTCCGCTAGTATTAGATGCTGAGGTGTAGAATCTTTCTAGGAAGGAGAGAAACAATCGTATTTCAACGCTTTTCCTATGTTCCTTACTGTTGGCTAACCAAGGGTCTGAAATATATCCCATCATTGACGAAATTCATGACATAATTGATGTTGTATCGCCACTACGCACTCACTACGCTCGCCAGCCGTCTAATAGTATTACATCAACGACTTAGGCACAGTCGCTAACCCCATGCTCCCCATGGTCAGACGACTTGCCTGACTGTCACGACTAGTCACTGACCGGCACAACACTGAATTATCTTATTCTAAAAATCGAATTTGATGCAACGTTTTTGGATACCATTGCAGTTGTTTGGAATGTTCATTCACTTTTTTGCAATGATATCTTACTATGTATATTAATTTCCTCTCGAATCTGCATCATCTTTGATCAGTTCCTTGGCACTGCAATGTTGGCTCATGTGGGGCTCGACTCGCCGCTCGAGGGTCGAGGCCTGTGGCGATCATAATGATACGCTGGCTGTCAACTTGAACATTTTGAACTGTCAAGCTTGTCAAATGTCATAAGTATGTACATGTGTTCGAGAGTTAAATAACATGTTGCGGGAGCATTTTTCTGTTACATATGTACGTCCAGGGAACTTCTCTTCAAAGATTTGCGTCGCAGGAACTTGGAGTACCGCGATTCCCGACTAAATGTACAATTTATTGTGGTTGGGTTTCACTAATCGTTTGGCTCCCTGGAACGTATGAGAACGTACTTCAAGTGAATTGGAAACTATTATTATTATAGTAATAACCTTCTAGAAATTGTCTAGTAGAAGCCTTCAAAAACTCCATGATGATGATGGAAGAACCACTCAATGACAGGGGTTTTCTGAAATCCCGGTTGCCGCTTCGAAACAAATTCAGGCAGGACCCCGGATAATGGTAGGGGAGGCCTGATCCTAGAAAGGCACTTTTCGTCCGGACAGAGGTCCCAGATATTTGTCCGGATTGCTCCTAGCCTCCCCAAAATTTGCAAAATTTGTCCGGACCCCCGTGCCCAGCCTATTTTTTGCTAATTTTTGTCCGGATCGGTGGGATCTGGCCTGAAAATCGCCGCAGACGAGGTAGAAAAATGAGGTATTAAGCTAAACAATACTCAAGAACACCAGCTATGATATAGACTAGCCATGTGTATTCAACATCGTAGCTAATCTTTACTAATCTTCACCATCAGATTTCCACCTCGCTTTCGAGAAAGCTTCAATGCCTCTTGCAGTTGCTTGTCTGCCTTTTGGAGGGTGCGAAATCGAGTTAGATCCCATGGTTTCTCACTCGTGCAAAAAAACATGGGATATACTACACAAGTCCAAACAGCATAAGATGAGAAACATTCAGAAAATATGTTGCAAGGCGTGTTCGAACCCGCAAGTCACGAGCACAGTTGCACTCAACATTTGGCGCGGAACTGGTAGATTGACTTATGTCCGGACTGGGACCTGGCTACATAGTGAAATCAAATTTCTGTCCGGATGAAGGCCCGTGGCCTTTTCGAAATTTGGGTCGATTTTGTCCGGATTGGCTCCCGGCCGTTTTCAAAATTTCTAAAAAATCTGTCCGGATGGGTATCAGGGCGCACCTGCCATTATCCGGGGTCCTATTCAGGCCCGGATAGATCTGGTTTCTCATAAAATGTCTGCCTTGAAGTTCAGACACGTCTACAATGTTATTTAAATATATTTGAATTTGCATAGGTACAAAGGTTCAGGCTGTCAGGTCAATTTATACACAATGTACCTAGTCTTGCTCGACTTGGGTTTGGTCTTCAATTGATTTGTAATATACTTGTACGTCATAACCCCGCACATGAGGTCGTACCATGTATACTATGAGGCAGACGTCCATCTCCTCAAGAAAGATATTTCGTCTACTATGACTTTCATGATAACGAATGATAAAAACAAGAATACAAGTCAGGGACTGGTCAGCTGAGGTCTGGGTTCACATATAATGTGGGGTGTGTGCCAAGGGTGTGCCTGATCTTATGACTACCTTGATTCCCACGCTATTCGGTCGGATATTTTCAGTATAATTCAGTATATAAGGACCGAGGCCCCAAAAATCGAACGACTGCTCCACCTGTTCTTTATTCTTTTCACGACCACTATTATCAAAAAATATGTTTACCAAGTTCTTCATCATTATGACCGCCGCCGTCGTTGCGGTTAATGCACAAGATATTCCTGGTCTTACACCATGCGTTCTTGCATGTATCCAACCTGCCGCTGCCCAAAATGGGTGTAGTGGTATGTACGTCTCATTCATAGCCTATCATTCATGGACCACTTTTCTGACGACTATGGTACTTTCTTAGCACCGACGTGGCCTGCGTGTGCACTTCTGCCCAATTCCAGGCAGACGCTACTGCTTGTCTTCAAATGCACTGTACGCCTACTGAAATCGAAGGTGCTGTCACATTACAAACAAGTGAATGTGCTGTTGGTACGGTTTGATTTTGTTATCTGCTTGACTTCTGCTCCATGACTGATTCTTTCCTCCTTCTCCAGCCAGCCTTGCTCCTACGGGCCCAAGCGTGACACCCAACCCTGTTTCATTCACGCTCCCTTCATCTGGAACGAGCACAGCCGCAGCGACTACCACAACGAGCGGTTCTGCGAGCGCATCCACCACAGCGAGTGGCTCTACAAGTGCATCCACCACGGCGCCCTCTGCAACAAGCGGCACCTCTGCAACAAGCGGCACCTCTGCCTCTGCTGCTTCGTCTCCCACCACCTCAGCTGGTGCTGCCTCCTCTCTGGTCGCAAACGGAGGCTTAGGAGCTGTCATAGCCATGATTGTTGGCTTCTTGGCCATCTGAATCAAAAACATTGGTGGAAGGATGGAGACTTGGAATGTATCCGATGACACTCTTTCAGGATGTTTGGATTGCTTGCGGTCGATATACTTTCGCTTGGTTACATGCAAAAATGACATTCCTACTTCAATTGTTCGTATTTCTTGAGTTCCTTTTGATCCTTTGTTGCCTCGGACATTCGTGGACTGAAACTTAGTAACATTATTATGACAACAATTTTCTATTCCCTTGCGTAATCCATCCATGGAGTGAAATTTCAACTGGCAGCGGTGTTGCTCTCGCTTCGTATGTATATCAATTGCCTTTGACCTGCTATCATCTGCTCGCTAGGAAAGCCAAACATATGGGCTCTTAGCACAGTGGTAGCGCGCACGCTTTGCATTTCCGTATGCTTGCGTGAGGTCGTGGGTTCAATCCCCACAGTGTCCATTTTTTATCTGGTTTCCATATGGAAAAGACTGACCTTTCTCTTGGCAACGAGGAGGTCATGCGATACCGGAGGAGCCCTGTACAAGGACCCCGGATTATCCCTACCTAGGCTAGATCCCAAAAAGTCGAAATTTTGCGGTTTCTGTCCGGACAAAAAATAGGTTCCCACGCTAGCTGACCTCGGATTTGAACGTTTCGGAACGTCCTGCTTCAAAAAGGGTTTTTTTTTGACCCAAATTTTGTCCAATCTTGTCCGGATTGAGGGATCTAGCCTACTTAGGGATAATCCGGGGTCCTCCTGTACATCATTTTGACAGATTGACTAGACCTAATGGGGCAATCTGCAATGTGGTAAGCATCCGAAACCGCTTCTTAGCGAAGGTAGCAGGGAGCGGCACATGTGTCCTACTGCCAATAACACGCTGTGTCAGGCCGTTCAATCCCTATCAACATGTTGGTGGGTGAAGCGATAAGGTGAGGGGCCTTCATGGGCCATGAAAAATCTTAATAATTTAATTTAATCTCCCTATGTACTATCAGATCCTGCTGCAGGTAGCCACGAACAGAAAAGCAGACTAAATCCTTTGAGAAATGAGGCTGAGACAGACGCAGCATCACGACAGCAGCATAATCAGGGACTATCACTCATTGGAATTCGGTTGTGATGGCGTCGTAACTATTACCAATTATAAATAACTGAATTCCGTTCACGACTGACGGTTCCGAGCTTACATAGAATCGAATACCGAATATTGAGCGCTTAGCCGCTTATCATCGACCCAGTGGTCCAATGCCACATTTGGGAAGGATTTGAGCTCCCTGCATCAGCCACAATTCCGTAGCAGCTGCCACTCTGAAGCCGTTTCGGGTGTCGCAAAGGAGTCATGAAGAGTCATCCCAGGTAAACCGGTACGAGTCTATTCTAATACTACTTATTGATTCTAAGTCTGCTAAATTGGAACATTCATTGATGGCAGCATATGAACGCCACTAGATGGCGTTCAAAGCCGCCAAAAATGAATTTCCGCAGCGAAGTGGTGGCTGTTTAAAGTCGGCGGTGACTGCGTGTTGTGCACCATACTCAGGGTCGAAGATTGAGCGCTCAAATTGGTCTATAAAGAGTCCAAGACTCTCATAGACTAATCTTAATGCCCACTCTCACCGTCAGAAAAGACATTGTTTTCCACTATACGGACAGTGGTCCTGTTGAAAAAAATGAGTATTCCACCCTCGTTTTCGTCCATGGTCTCTCATTTCATAGTGGTACGTCTCCATACATACGATCAACCCTCTATCGGTCGATGGTCTTATACATGAATTGGATGAACAGCGATATTCCAAAAACTGTTACCAATCGCCAGCGCCCATTCGCTACGCGTGATTTGTCTGACCCGTCGCGAATACCAAGCATCCACTCCCTTTACAGACGATGAGCTGAGAGTAATCAACCATGGATCTGAAGAGGAACGTGCCGGATTTCTTAAAGAGCAAGGTCTTCTTATCGCGCTTTTTGTGGACGGTATCATTCAGACGCTTTCGCTTCCAAAGGCAGGCGGCCTGACGGTTATTGGTTGGTCCCTGGGAAACGTATACACTCTTGCTTTCCGAGCTTGTATTGGTGATCTGCCCATGGAGACTCAGGAGAGGTTGAAATCGTATGCGCGTAGCTTCATCATCTGGGGTATGATTCTTCCTTTGATAATCAGTTAACGAATCCTGACCAACTATTTTATTGTAGACCCCCCAGTTACGGTTTTCGGTTTGACCTTTTCTCAACCTGAAAGTGCACCAGAAGATTTTTTGGCAAATTTTCCAAAGTATATCTCGACGCACTATCAACATGTTGACCTTGACTCGAGGGATCCCTCGAAGCTGGATCGTATTGGAAACCCATCGATAAAGCCTACTATTGAGACCATGACGCCAGAGGAACTATCCTCTGCCCTCGATCTTGTCCCTTGCTTCAAATGCGATCTTATTCTGTTGTCACCGGCATTCTCACTCGTCGTTTCGAATCAGATGAGAAAGGCGTTGTTAGATCCTCAAGTTTATGAAGCTTGGGGACGAATCCCAGTTTGGCATATCTGTGGCGATCGTAATCCTCCAATAATTCAAACTGCGCTTTGGCTTTTCGAGGACAAGATCAAGTCTGAGGACAAGATCAAGTCAGGGGACATCAAAATCGGATTCAAGCCAATTAGGGACGCTAATCATTTTGTAAGTTAAATTCTTCCTTCCTTTCATCGTCACTTAAATTCTGAAACATCCACCCCTCCAGTTGATGTGGGAAGAGCCGGATCGGTGCTTGGCCGTCATGAAAGAGTGTTGGAATAATAACCCTTGATTAAAACAGTTTCACTCCCATCTCCGATTAAGTATACCAAAATGCCTTATGATTTATGATCTATGTATGGTATGATTTGTTTATTGTATGTAGGGTTTATGTACTTAAACTGAAGTGTCCAGTCTGTATGTTATGTGTTTACCTCCCAAATACCTCATCATGGCATCCACATTCCTCGTTTGTCGAGTCCGAGCTTTCAGCAGCCAGCTTGAGGTCTGCCAATGATATTTTGTTCGATGCATATTAAGATGATGAATACGGTATCTCATTTTGCTCAGGCTACTCATCATCCGATGGCGTTCGTATACGCAATCGATTCGAAATGAGTTCATGGCACAGAGGAAGGACTTACGGTTCGCTTGGACTTCCTCTAAGGATAATACGCGAGCTTCTTACCCCGTACGCGGAGTACATTTTATTGCAACAAGTTTGTCATCTCAGCCTGTACAGATGTTGATGCCCGGAATTTTGCCAGCACTAGAATGCACACCGTCGCAGATAATTCCCATATTGATTTATCTGGAGGGGAAATATTCAGCATCACGAGTCCGAGGTTGGAGGGAAGTCCAGTGGTTATTAATTTATTACCTGCTCTCTTGATCGAGGGGATGTACTTATTCTGGACCTTGAGAAACGTACGTGCGTCTTTTTGGAGCAAAAATAATCGCTTGAGCTAGACTCATATCGACTCATCATCGATAAAAGGATCAGAGGTTAGGAGCATACCAAGGCGTACTGATACCGATAGCATGAGTCGGTTCATTGGTTGTTCATGAGCTCTAGGAAATAGCCAGCCACAATCAATTGCGTGTCGACAAGACACCCGAAGGTAATACAAATACAGGCCTTAGACCATGTTTCCGAACGAAGCCAAGTAAAATAACTGAGTTAGCAGTTTTTTTTGCAAGCAGCAAGATTGCAGCAAGACGAAGAAGGTCCGCCATTACGTAATAGTCATCTTCAGCTTTTTCACCCATCATGCTTCCGAAATTTAAACAACGATGAACAAGACAACACGACGCCGTGGACGAGAAAACAGTGATACTAGAGACATCAAGATCACATACGATGGACTAGCACGGGTAGATGGTTCTGCACGGTTTGGCTTCGGTAAGCCTTCCCACTATCTTTTCTTTTTCTCTCACAAATTTTAAAGTTGATAAGGCGAGGTTGCTGCGCTTGCATCCATCTCAGGACCGATAGAGGTCAGACTGGCATCCGAATTACCTTCAAAAGCAACGTTTGAAGTTATTCTACGACCTCTTACAAATGTTCCTGGTACCGATTCGAAATGTCTTGCGGCAACCATACGTGCTAGTCTAGAGCCTTCCTTGATCTTGACCAGTAATCCACGGACGTTGATACAAATTGTCATTCAGTCATTGAGACAAGGACGTCACTCGAAGTGGAGGGATAGCTTAACGGCTGCTATGATCAATGCGAGCTGTCTAGCATTATTGAATTCAGGCTCGGTATATATGCGAGGGGTGGTTGCTGCAGTTGCGATTGGACGTTTACCCGATGGTACTCTCGTGGTCGATCCGGACGAAGAAGAAGAAGAATGCTTGGGAGGTGGTGGATGTTTCGCATTTATGTTCGCTGATGAGACTGGACTCAAAAACGACAATACATCAAACTCGGATTGCGTATGGTCTGGTTGGAAATCTATGTCGGGGGCTTATGACGAAAGTGAACTTTTCAGAGCGAGGGAGCTGGCTAGAGTCAAAGCGTCCGATGTATATGTCGTGATGAAGAAAAGTATTGACGCACGGATTTCTTACAATACCGATACTCCAGCTCGGAACAACATCGAAGTGATCAAAGACGAGATGAAGGGCGAGAACGATTCAGATGACGACAGGATGGAGATATAAGTCTTAGGTGGTGGTACGTGACAATATTCTGCATGAGATGGCAGACAAAAATGCTTCGTATTAAATACTACGTGTTTAAGAATCAAGAAAGGCTACAATAAGTATTACGTCGATGAACGTCCGAAAAGTATACAACAGTCTTATCAAGGATGATCTTCCTTTATGAAATCGGATGCCTTTCAAAACAATAATTAGCAAGCCAATCCATAATATATAGCAATGGACAAATAACTCACTCGTTCTGCGATCATGTAAACCGTGGACATCTGATAAATGCAGTTAGAACAGCTATGATAAGATCCAACATGCCAAATCTCACCAGGTGTGCACTAACTGGGAATGGAATAATAGACGCATCTAAGGCCATAATATCTCACCAATCATGACCTGTGGATAAAGTAGAGATGAACGCACCAACAACCCGCACATTCTTAATTCCATACATTCTCATCCTCGTATCAACAACACCTCCCAACTCCTTCGGCATCATCGCCAATGACCCAACTACATGATTATCACTCGCAGCGACCTCTCTCGCCCATACTCTAACATCTGTCGAATCTCCAGGTTCATATTCACCTTCATAAATCAGGTCCAATGGAGGCGTGCGAAGCATTGTCCTGCTGAGCTCTATCCCCCTGACGTGCGTTTCAAAATCTAATGGATGAGCATAATACGCTGGGTCAACAGCAGGGGGTTGGAACGGATCGGTAGACGTTATGTGGGTCCGTCCTCGAGATAGCGGGCCAAATAAGACGGCATTTAGAGATGTGAACTTGACT